TTTTGTGGCAGAACTTAAATTAACAGTGACACTATTGCGATTTATCGAAAAAGATTGTAAAATAGTTGGATGTGTAGCGTGCGGTAGATCTCGGTCAAAAATCGAGGGAAATAATGGAATAACTTTTTGCTAGTAAGTGACTATATAATATACACAAACGTGTAATAAACTGATCATTTATGAAACTCACTTAATCTTAATATTAACTAATTATTATATTTTTCTAACAATTTTAATAATTACCAACATTTATTGACAACGTAAAATAAAACAACAAATTATTGAGTCTACCCTACATCATATTTTTACACGTTTTAAATAAAATTAGAACAGCACTGATAAACCGGAATTCAAGTCGGCCATTTTAGTTTGATCTAAGTTTTTTTATATGTTCCTTCCCTAATCTTTTTATTCAAAGATATCTTTTAACAAACAAAATGAAGTTGTAAAATAGGCCAATATTTTACTTTAATATTCTTATGAGATTAATGACACTTTATTTTTTACTAGACCTCCTCCAGTATTTCGACCAAAGATTCCTAAAATGGTAGCCCAGAAGGCCAAGCCTATTCTCAAAAGGCTGAATCGCTGCCAACAGAGGGCAGTACTGAAAGCCATAGCTGCAGAAGAATATTTGTTGATCAAAGGTATGCCAGGTACGGGTAAAACTGCCACGATTGTAGCCCTGATTCAGTTGCTAGTAGAGATGGGAAAGACTGTTTTAATAACCAGTCATACACACTCAGCTGTTGACAATGTATGTCTGAGACTGATCAAGTATGGCATTAAGTTCATGAGATTGGGCAATAGGGGGAGGATCAATAAAAATCTTGTTGATTATACCGAAGATAAATACACTGAGATGTGTTCGACGCCTGAACAATTGGAGAGAGTTTATAATAGTGTGGTAAGCCATTTTTTAAGAATGTTTTGCTAAAGTCTTTTAATATACTTCAAATCTATTGTTGATGGAACCTAATGGATGTTAGCTTTATTCAAGAACAGTTAACCTAATAGGAATTATTTTTAAAGATATGAACTATAGTTGTTTTCTTAAATACCCTGTATATTTATAAGTTATATGATTGGGCTTGCTATAAACTTGTCAAAAATGTATATCACTCTATTTTTTTACTATTTACTGCATTTGAAAGTTTTTGTTAAAAGATCATATTTATTAATAGGCCTTGATTGATAATAAAAGAAATTAAAGAATTATTAAAAATATACTGCTATCTGTCTCTTGTTTTATTTTGGGAGCCACTAATAAATTGTTTATACCGGGTGCGTCTCAAAAGTGGTTCACCCCCTATAACTTTTTTATTTTTTCATATAAACCAACGAGATTTGGTATGTTAGTATATGACATAAATTAGGATTGATTGACATATCCAATTGTTTTCCGTCACTTCCGGTTTCACCGGAAATGACTACAACTTTTGATTTTTAAATGGCACTCTCGGTATTTTTTTACTTTATTCGATAGAAAATGACACTCTGAATAGAATGACATATCATTTGTCAACTTTTGACATTTTCGCATATAGTTTATTTGAAATTGTAACCTGCGGTTCATAACGACAATTTGACTCGAAATACCAAGTGTGTGGTATCAAATTATTCGTAAAAAAATGCTTTTTCCAAATATGCTAATGAGCCACACTTGTCCCATTTGAAAAAATTGAGGTATGATTGAAAATACGATTTGGTCATCTTTTAACCGGCTAGGACAAGACACTAAAAACATTAGACGATCAAGTCTATTTTTTCAAGGCTCCTTGATTAAAACTTATTGTTTTTAACACAGCCATGGCACTCTAGATTGAAATTTAAAATACAATTTGTTTTTGAGCGAACATGTTAAAATTTGACATATGATATGTCATTCGATTCAGAGTGTCATTTTTTATGGAATAAAGTAAAAAAATACCGAGGGTGCCATTAAAAATAAAAAGTTGTAGTCATTTCCGGCGAAACAGGAAGTGACCGAAAACAATTGAATACGTCAATCAATCCTAATTTATGTCATATACTAACATACCAAATTTCGTTTTTTTATCTGAAAAATTAAAAATGTTATAGGGGTGAGCTACTTTTGAGACGCACCCGGTATACCAGAGAAATTTAACTCTCAACCGCTATTTTTAATCTTGGAAGCTATCGTACCGGAACTTTTAGCTAATTTACGTGAAATATACTTTCAGCAAGATGAGGCTCCCCTTCACAACTTTGAAAATATTAGAATTTTGTTAAATTCAAATTCAAATTCAAATTTCTTTATTAGACCCCATTAAGTTTTACAGAATAATATTAGTATTAATAAATGTGTGTCTAAAGGGATCGCACCGCGATTAAAAAACCGATACGATGGCACAAAGTGCCAGAGTGGTGCGACCCCTTTATTAATGGTTATAAATGGTTATTTCTCAAATCATGGAAACAAAGGACTCATTCGATGGCCTCCCGGATTTGTCCATTCTCTATTTCTGTATTTGAGGATTTTTGAAATATGAAATGTATTATGCCAACTAAAACAATGTCGAACACCTGGAAAATACTATCAGGCAAGCTTTTAGATATTTGCAAACCCATCCCGTTATAATAAATCTCGTTATAAAAAAAAAGAAAAATATATTAAGAGATTCAGTGGTAACAGTTCAAAAACTAAAAATATTTCAATCCCAAATAAAATTTTAATATGGGTATGACTATTTTAGTAAATACCATTTTGATTTTTGTTATCTATCACGGCCTACTAATAAGAAAATAATATCTTTTAAATATTGCAGTAAGTAGTGAAAATAAATATAGAGTTATATATATATATATATATATATATATATATATATATATATATATATATATATATATATATATAATATATATATATATATATATATATATACTATTATATATATATATATATATATATATATATATATATATATATATATATATATATATATATATATTTGAGAGGCTCATAGCAAGGCAGATTATATGATTTATAAATAATATGTGGGTGTTCCACTGGAAAAAACATAACTTTAGTTCATATTTTCAAAAATATTTTTTTCGTAGAAAAACAGACTACGCCACTGTATTCTACGTAAAAATGCAAGTTTACAACAACAAACAGTTTTCACCTTATCGATATCATTCACAATAACAGAGATACGTGGGCTATCCCAAATTGCAAAATTTTTGAAAAGCCCTGTAGCTCAGAAACAGTGTGCAACCAGAGAAGAACAATCGTAGAGAAGCGACAAAACCGTCGGCACTATTGAAGTGAGGGGACCAAGTTTTGTAACCTTCAAATTGAGGTACGTGAGAGATCGCCGGTTTATTACACTGAAAGAAATTCAATGAAGGCAAAAGAAATGAAAAAAGATATGAAATGAAACTGATAAAAAATGTGTTTAGTAAAAAGTATATTAAAATCAGTCAATAGAGTATATAAGCCGGAGCCATCGACAACTGAGACAGTTTTTGAAATTTGAATATACCGCGTGGAAATTGAAAATCGGACAATTTGGTGAAGGAATCTTATAAATAGTTAGTTTGTTGTGTGTTATAAGTTAGTAATTGTGTATAAAGTGAGAAAATAAATTCGTTAAGTATTTTATGGTGAGTTTAAATTAGTGGACCCACGGAATCCGTAACAATATATACTTGTTTTGGGTCGCGACCGTTGTACGCGCTGCTATAGCGGTTGCTAAGAACAACCGCAAACAATAACAGAAATAATTTTCTCTTGTCAAAGTCAGAATCTTCAAAAATTATAAAATCTTTTAAAATTTAAACCGCCCTCATTGAAAAAAATGCCGAAAAGTGTTTAAAGCGTCCATTCCCAAAGTAATTATTGCTATCTTGTGAGTTTAATTTAAATTTTATTCACTCAAACCCGTGATAATTGTAAAAAAGTGGCTAAAAGCTAAAAAACTGTGTTGTGAACTGTGAACTGCAAAAACCATCGTGGATCGTGGCATAACGTCGGTTTCCAATGTTTCATAGGTATTTCACATACATGTCCCTATACAAAATAAAGTTTCTTGTATGCGACACACTGTATTTTATTTATAAAATTAAAAGAAAATAATAATAAATTTGAATCAATAATATTTGGCGACATAATTCCGGAAAAAGCCGAACCGATCCGAAATTATCAAAAGCTTTGGGTCGCGACCGTTGCAGGAATAGCGCCAAATAGTGTTTACATTGTCCTTATGGGCACTTTCCGATCTATAAACTTGTTTCATTTATCTATGAGTATGACAGCTCTATGTTCCATTGTCACTGTTATGTACAGTTATATATTCTTCAAATAGTAAATTCTTTATATTTGAGGGTGCATCCATACTATCCTAAAAACGGCGTATCGGCGTAACGGCGTTACTAGGATAGTGTGGATGCACCCTGACATGAACTTTAAACCAGTTAAATTATTATCTGTCAATGTTTTTATTTTACGAATTTTAATTTTTCTTTTAGGGAGTTGGGTATGGACGAAAGTTTGTTTGAAAGGCTCGATAGCGAAGAATCTCGCATTAGTTTGAACTTGAACTATCGCATGAACGAGCCTATAACAGCTTTGGCCAATGCTTTAACTTACAATGGCGAATTGCTCATTGCCACTGAAGAAATAGCCAAGGCATCATTAAATCTGCCTAATATTGAGGTACAGAGAATAAATTGTTGTGTGCAAATTTGTAAATATTATTTTTACAAAAAAAATTAAGGTTTAAAAAAATAAATTGAGATTGACATATACAGGGTGGTCCGCACTGTATTCCGGGAACTTCGGCAACATATTCTGCATATAAAAGTAAGTAAAAAACTTTTTTACTTCGTTTCGGAGATACAGGGTGTAGAAGTTTCATTTTTACTTCGATTTTTTCCAATTAATTTACGAAGTAACGTCAATATTTTCATGAAAATTGGTCTTTGGGAGTTTTTTGACATGAGAAATTTTATTTTTATGTCAGTATGACTCCTACTTGTAGAGGGCGCCATCTACATATTTTTTAACTGGTTTGAAGAGTAATAAGTTTTCGTCCGTACCTGTACAAAACTACTGAGTAAAAAATATATATTTAAGACGTTTTTCAAGTAAAAAAGGTCTCTTGGTAAAAATTGCTACGAGTAATGCTTCTCGAGATATTTGGAATTGAAATTATCAATATCTGACATTGACATAAATTAAACATCTTGATTAAATAGATATTAGATTGAAATCATAAATTTGAAATATTTTTGTGCCAAAAGTTCAACAGAAACTGTTTTATCGTCATTTTTTTACAGAAAAATTTATGATTGATTTAAAAAAATTAAAATTTCCCAAGTTTATTATTTCAGTCAAATAACTATCTACTCAACGTGTTTATTTTTTGTCAATAATGACATGTATTGACTATTTTTATTCTAAATATCTTGAGAACGGTTATTTGTAGCGCTTTTTACCAAGAGACATTTGTTACGTAAAAATTCACGGGGATGCATATTTTTTCACTCAGGAGTTTTATACAGGTACGGGCGAAGAGCGAAGTTATTACTCTTCAAAACAGTTAAAACACATCTAGGTGGCGCCCCCTACATATAGGAGTTATATTGACACCAAAATAAAAAATTTCATGCCAAAAATCTCCCAGACACCAATTTTTATCCAAATATTGATGTTACTTCAGAAATTATTTAGAAAAAATCGAAATAAAAATGAAAATTCTACACCCTGTATCACCGAAACTAAGCATTTTAAGACATACATTTGCCGAATTTTCCGGAATACAGTTCGGACCACCCTGTATATTATGATTTTGGGTTACCTTATTTAAGCAAACAACTTTGTAAGGAAAAAGTCAGCTGAAAAAAGAAAATGAAATATTATAAAATATCATATTTACACCCTGTATAATAAAAATATGTGTTTATTTTCAGACAGTAAAACAAAAGTACAAAGGCATGTCTTGGATTTTAGAAACGTTAGATACTTCTTTAGAAAGGGCTGTGCAGTTCATTGATACAGGTAAAGTTAAAGTTATTTTTGTGTAAATTTTACGATATTAGTTGCTGAAATACTACAATAAAGTTGATTAGAGATTAGTCATTAAAATATTCAAAATAATTTTTTTTTATCGTGCGGTCTTTGACTTTGAAAAATTAAGTTCTACCCTTGTTTCTATATTCTTAAAGTTGCCCAACCGACTAGACAAAATGTGCTACTAACGGGAGGACAAATCGTGAACCTTTCGGGGCGGAGTCAAAAATATCGATTATTTTCGTTATTTTCCTCAGAATAATGTAATAATATAGCCCAGTGTTTCTGCGAACTTTAATAGTGATCAGCTGATTAGAAAATTTAAACGAAACTTTTATTATATTGTAAATTGTGGATTATTTTTGCCTGTTATTTTAAGAATTCTAAACCGTATTAACATACAACCGTACAACATATCGAAATAATGATTTCTTTCATAATTTTGATATGTTGGTACATTATTTATAATTTATGATAATGCTAATTGCTGTTAATTAATATTTAAAAAAAGTTACATACCTATTTTAATTTGATTTAATGCAGGTTTATAAAAGAATCATTTCATTCTTAGATTATTTTACACTTAATTGAGTGCTGTACGAATTTTATGATATTTTTTTTGAAAGCATGAAACTTTTTACATTTTTGATGCCAACTAATTGGCATGGTATTATTGGTATGGAAATTAGCCAAGAAAGAAAAGAATTGGCTATAACTTGTAATTTTTCGAAAAAAACATATTATACCTATATCGCTGAAAAGCTTAAAAAATGGCGCTTTTTATGAAGTCATGGCCAACTCTGGTTTCCATTTAAAAATAAAACATAATGTTTGTGTCATATGTCAAAAATTACAGGTTTTAGAAAAAAAAAACAGAAAACACAAACTCATTAGGTATGTGATTATCTACAACTTTTATCTGAAAACTTTTTGTCTAAAATACCGTATGATCGAATAAAAACGGCTTCAGCGATGACTATGAAATGACGATCGATGATATTTCCCATATAATTTTACGTAGGTATAAAATGACAGCGATCTTCATTTCATAGCCATCGTTGACGCCGTTTTTATTCGATCACACGGTAGATTATAATGGAATTAGAGACAAAGTTTTAAAATAGCCAAAATTTTTTTTTTCTCGAAATATCTAGTAAGCCTTGAATTTCTCCGAAAAATCCGAACGGCGCATATTTATGACCCCACAAAACTGCAATTTTTTCCCCATTTAACCGACTCTCTATCTCCAGTAGTTTCCGAGATACCCATAGAGAACATCGTAGGAAACTCACCCTGTATAGTATTTAGAAACTAACTGTTATTATTATTTGACTAGATTAATTTGATTAATAAAACTCGATTAATTTAATTTAAAATAAATTTGATCAGATTTTTTTTTCGTATATTCTACTACCAGAAAACCAAAATTATATATGATAACGCACTTTTCAACGAAGTTGAAGGAAGATATAGTGTATCTATCATAGAATTACTACAATTAGAAGAAAAACAAAAAGAAAAAATACCCAAATACCTTCACCTACTACTCATCTACAAAATAAACTAATATAATCTCTTATAAAAACACTACACAACTACTTCTTCACTACTTCAACCACTTCTACACTGAAAAAATTATCAAACACAAATTAATCAAACAAAAAGAAAAAATAACCAAATTATCCCTTCACCTACTACTTAACTGCAAAATAATAAACTATAAAAACACTACTAAACTATTTCTGGTATTCTACACTAAACATTATAATTAAACTTAATAAAATTAATCTAATTTTACACTACAACTACAAAGAAATAAGAACATTTTTTAAAACTAGAAGAAACAGAACCTCGATACGTGCAACCAGTATAATAGATCAAGCGGACAAAGAATATAAAATACTTTAAAAATGTGCATTCAGAAAGAAAAAATATCTCGAAAATTATCTAAACAAACATTTTTTTTTCTTATCAGTGAAAAGCATCGGCCTCGTCGGCCTTGCGAAATTTGTCGGGTATTTACAATGGTCGAACTGTATAATTACCAGCTTTTATAGCATATCTAATAGACAAAAAGTATCTGGTCGATTAGTAACCAATTGGCACAGTCCGAAAATTATCGATTTTTATTTTCTGTTTTTATTGGTCGCTTCAAAATTCAGAGTAACAGAAAATATTTTTCTGTAGTAAAAGACTGTGAAATACGCCCCGCCATCTGGTGCTTTACATCCATAAACGTCTTAGGTTGAGCTACTTTAAAAATTCATATACAAGGGTTCTATAGGTAAAAAGTTTTAAAAAATGATTAATAATCTTTAAATTGATACTGCTCTCTCCATATTGGTCCATTGTTAAGTATTAATAACACTTGAGTATGAGTTACATTAAAATCACAATAAAGAACATTCAAATGAACCTTCCATTTCTTATTGTTTTTTTAAGACTATTCTAGCTCTTTGATTTTTGATTTCAGGCCCAGTTTGGGACTTAGAACACACAGTTCCGTGGACCCAGGACGGAAATGGTGATAAACAAGAAGCAGAAAAGTTAGTCAATATCTACGAAGCTGCCATTATTTTCCACTTAATACAAGCATTACTACAGGTATTTCCATTCCCTGTTCAATGTATTTCAAAATATAATACATGTTTTAAAAATTAGGGCGGTGTCAAAGCATATCAAATAGGAGTTATAGCGACTTACAGGGCGCAGGTAGCTCAGCTTTCCGCTATTCTTAACCATACAAACGTGGAAATTAATACTGTGGATCAGTATCAGGGCAAGGACAAGAATGTGGTGTTTTATTCATGTTCCAAGTCAGTAGATACAGAAAAAGAATGGACTAGTAATAAGGTAAATAGTTATTATGTGATTATTGTCTCTCCTTACTTTATTTTTGTTAACTATAACTGGCCCATTAGTTAACGTCATTTGTAACAGTGAAATCAATACATCTCAGCATTTACAATAAAGAGTACAAAATGCATTCGGAAGTATAAGAAGATCTGGTCAAAGAGCTATAAATAAAATTGAACGAAAAATAAATTTCTGCAATAGGGAGGGTGGTAACCTTTTCGAACATGTAGAGCATTAGAAACTAGTGATGGGCAAAACTGTTATTTTTAGATAACAGTTGAAACTGTTATAGTTATTTATAAAAAACAGCTTAAAATAACAGCTTAAAAATAACAGGTTTCTTTATTTTACTGCTAAATATCTGAAAGTATGAGGCGGTCACCGCCAGGCGTATTAACGCAGTTGCAAGTTGCAACAATGACGTGCTCGGTGGTAATATTTCCAGGGTGTCAAAACATTTCAAAATGTCGATTGTTCTCTAAAATACGTCTCTAAAAACGGTGGTTGTTTACAAATAAGCGCTGTTTACAAATTGCGATATAAAAAAAGCCGATACATTCCGATCTACCTACGCCCTGCCCCTCGATCCGCGTAGATCATGAATTGAGTAGCAGTGTACAGGGTGCATCTTACTCGACGGGCGAGAAGCTCTTAGTTATGATTTTACCATTTGCGGTAAAAAAATAACAATATAAGAAAATGTGTAGTATATTCTTCATAAGTAAACCAACTACACACTAGAGTTCGAATTTATTTTACACTAGCGTGTACCCGCGACTTCGTTCGTGTCGAATTAATAATTTCTAATTGTGATGATAAACCAAAACAAGAATTTCCATTAACATACAGACTCGATAAAATTTTCTCACATGTGCTAAAAATAAGCTTTAAACGTCGAGCAGTTTAAGCAGAATCGTGGTTAATCAATTACTCAACTTTTTGGAACACCCTGTATGATTTTTGAAAAAATGTCAAAATATGTAAAAAAACAAAATAAATTATGCATGTCCAGGCGTTTTCCCGAAAGACTAACCGTTTTTTAAATAACAAAATTTGAGGGGCGTTTTCACCCTGTTGGAATTTGAGATTCGAGAAACCCCTCCTTATCGAACCTCAATCCCACAGTCAATCCGTTTGCCAAAAATCAGCTTTAAACGTCAAGCAGTTTAAGCAGAATAGTGATTACTCAATGGTCATATATGGTCCCTGTATATATTTTTTAAAAATCTGAATATATGTAAAACAACATAATAAAATATACGTGTTTTAAGAGTTTGTCCGAAAAACTCACCGGTTTTTAAATAAAAAATATTCTAATATTTGAGGGTAGTTTCACCCCCTTAGAATTCGAGTTTCGAAAAATCCCTTCTTATCGAACCTTTACACCCTAAAGTCAATCCGTTTTCCAAAAATCAGCTTTTTACGTCAAGGGCTTTAAGCAGGATCGTGATTAATCAATGACCAGATTTTTCAAAACACCCTGTATACATTTTTAAAAAATCTTAAAATATTATTCTGAAAATTTTTCAGAATAAATAAATACCTAAATATTGAGACTTAATAAGTAAGTACTGAAACATACAGCGCCATAATATCTCGACTTCCGCCCGTTATGCTCGTAACAGGTTGAAAAACAATATACTATCTAAAATAACTGATGCGTTATTTTCCAAACTGTTTCGAACCTCCATCGAAAATCGACCGATGCAGCAGCGTTCCTTTCCCACTCCGATTATCTCGACCACCGCCCTGTTATGCTCGTAACAGGTTGAAAAACAACGTATCTAAAATGACTGCTTCTCCAACCCGTTGCGAGCCTCCATCGACAATCGACCGATGCAGCTACGTTCGCCGTAGCGCATTCCCCACTCCGTTGTCCGTTGTCTCGCCGCCTGTATCGATGGTTGACGAAATAACATGTTTTCCATCCATACTAGTTGTTTTTTGGAATTGCTTCGAGCAGCATAGAATTTCGAGACGGTGCAGAGCGCCGACTTCGTTTTTCGTTTTACGAGCGGCCGATCTCTACGTGTCGTTATTTTATATCTGTTATTTTTTAGAACAGATAGTTAAATAACAACCCATCACTATTAGAAACTAGTTTGTAGAAGTTAATTTATTTATAATAACTACGATTAATATTATGCAAATTATTAGATTGTACACTGAGATTTCAAATTCACAATAAAAAAGTTAAAAATAATATCTTTAAATCACTGACCTGGATATTATTTATTTGAATCTTTCATTTGGCTCGATTTTCCTTACTCAATGTTAATTAGCGCTGATCAGTATTGTTGCGATGAATATAATCAGATTAAGTAATTTAAAAAACCAGAGGCGGACTTGAAATTATTTTAGATAATAATTAAATAGTTTTGTTGTTGTTAAATAGGTATTTCGTAGGGTAAGGTACCCAAAACAAAAAAAAGTATATTTATAAAAAAAACGTTTAATAATATCATCGTACTTAGGCGACCGAGTTCTTTCAAAACCTGATATAAAAAATGCAGGTCCGTATTTAAAAAAATTAAGTTGGCCTCTGTATCTCACAAATTATCAGCTAATTTGAAAATCTAAAAATACTATGAGATAGCCCTAATAAAGTGGCAATGAGAATGTGCAATTAGTTTTTTGATTTCCTAAAAAGAACGACAGGAAAAAATAAAATTGATTTAAAAAAAAAACGTTTTTCCAAAAATAAAACTCAGCAATCCTTGAAATTTTTAAAACTTTTTTGCTGGCATCTTGTCTCAATTTAACCATCTATCATATCTATTACGGTTTCCGAGATATCAATGCGCATACTCCGAATTTGTTACCACCCTGTATATAAAAATATATATTTCTGAGAAAAATAGATATAGAAAAATCTATAAAATAGAAAGAAAATTTAATCTAAAAATGGTTATATTTCAAAAACCATTCAGCATAGAATATGAATTAGTAGAGTACTTTTTGAATGGTATTTAATTAAGTATTCCATTTAAAAATCTCAATCCAGAAACCTTATATCACTCTATATATAGTTTTTACTCATTTAAGATTTTATTTTAAATTTTAGTTTGATCTACTTGAAGATAAACGGAGACTAAACGTTGCCATAACTAGAACAAAACACAAACTAATATTCGTAGGCGATTGGGCAACGCTGCAAAAGTATACCACCTTTATGAAGATCAAAGATATTTTGGAAGAAAACGCCATAAATTTATCCAGTATCGAAAATTTTCAGTGGATGGATATTTTAAACTCAGTCAATGTATGAATTCATTATTTTTCTATTTATATCTAGTAAGAATATTATTTTTATTTGTTTTGTCTTTACATAAACTATTTTTATATTGTATATTGAAGTTTTAATGAAGTATCTGCATAGGAGTCCAGGAATGTGTGATTTTTAGCATATTTATACAGGGTGTTTAAAAAAACATGTGCCATCTCTCTTGGACAGATTCCTCTCTTAAAAATAATATTTATTTTTCATATTAACATAGGACCTTTGAATAAGAAGACTAAGGAAGGAGCATAATGCTATCCATGTATTCATGCATGGTGAGCGGAAAAAACACTCTAGGGTGGGGATCCTTGACAGTCCTATTTGACTATTCATTTGACACATTTGAATTTGATTTGAAATTTGGTGGATTTGTCAGTCTTCACGGAGCTTATTTTATGTTATTTATTATTTATTCTACTACTGATAGTTGTATAAAGGTAGTAAATCTAGATGGAAATTGTGGCAGAACTTAAATTAACAGTGACACTATCGCGATTTATCGAAAAAGACTCTAAAAAGTTGGTTGTGTAGCGTGCGGTAGATCTCGGCAAAAATTGAGTGAAATAATGGAACAACTTTTCGCTAGTAAGTGACTATATAATATACATACGTGTAGTAAACCTATTATTTATGAAATTCACTTAAATTAACTAAATTATATATTTTTCTTGCATTTTAGCTTTTATTTATTACTTGTCAAAGATTAGATATCAAAGAATTTAGATACGTTAATTTGACTTACCTGCTTCAGTAGCGTATCGGATGTTTGTGTTAATAAATACTTATTATAACTTATCTATTTTTATTAGAATTATATATTTTTATAACAATTTTAATAACTACCAACATTTATTCACAACGTAAAATAAAACAACAAATTATTGAGTCTACCCCACGTCTACCCTACATCATAGTTTTACATTTTTTAAATAAAATTAGAACGACACTGATAAATCGGAATTTAAGTCGGCCATATTTGAGGCCCATTGCGGTGTACCTAAGATTTTTGATATGCTCCTTCCTTAGTCTTCTTATTCAAAGCATAGGACTGATTCTCTATTGTTTCTGTAGCTACAGGGGGTTAAGTTACTTTAACACTCTGTAGCTACGAAACAAAGCAGAATCGGACCCATGTTGATATGAAAAATAAATCTTATTTTTCCGCGAGGGATGGTACATGTTTTTTGAAACACCCTGTACGTATGAGAAATCTGGAGGATAACTTCAAAAGGTTGCCCAACTTACACTATATTGTACAATAAAAACATAACGGCGCCAGTTGGCATGAAAATGACGACCGCTGTCATTTATTGGACCACCCCGTACAGTATTGTATGTTTTATATAAAAATAAAAAGTTATATAAAAACAATATATTTCCAAATCTTTAAAAAAATAAGTCAAAGGTAACAAACAACCTTAAGGGAACTTAAAATTATAAGTTTATAAAAATACCTTTTTTAAAATATATAAATATACACTAAACACGATACTTTCACATGTTTTGACACCTGAGCATATACATATAAAAGGACAAATAAAGTTAAATAAATAACTTAAGCTACAGCCTATTTAAAAAATTGTATTATTTGATCAATCAAATGCCACCCTATTATTGGTTTAAATATAGTGAGAAATAAGTAAAACTACATAAATTATATCACAAAACTGAAAGAATAAAACACCTTTCATCAAGCCTTTTATCCCATATTCTTATTCTGAGGAAACAAAAATGTATATATTGTTCTTTTTTCTTTTCAATATCCACCCACGAAACACAATTATGACCTAACTAAGATACACAGAAATACACCTAGCAACAGAGCTGCTAATAGTTGAATTTTGTGGGAAACGTGTAGATAACTGGGTAAGCTCGAAGATTTTGTAATCTCGGGTTCAGTAGGTAAAAATAAAACTACCGCACAAACCACAATTATTAAACTTGACATGACGCTGTTCCCTGATGATCGGTCTATATGATGCACATTTCTATAACAAGTGATAAATATAGATATTTAATATGTGTGTGTCTTAAAGATATTAAACTGTTAAATATGTACCTTATTACTTGTGAACCTTGTACTGATTTATTCGAGCTATCATGACTACTCTGGAACTCAAAATCTTCATTGTTGTACCTACTGTCTTTTTCTTCAGCTAGAAGTATTGATTCAATAGTCTTTTTGCCGATAATCTATAAAAAATAGAAAAATGTTAATTACAGTGTTAATTACAAGATTTGTGTCACAACCTGATCAGTTACAGTATCCTGAATAACTATCTTAAATTTATCCATGATATTACAGTTCGATGGAACAGCTTGTTTATGCGTGATCACCAAGTCTACTGAGCTTTGTGGAGGTATCGTACCCTCTGGGTTTGGTACTATATATTTGTCCCATGCTGACGTATGGCAATGAACTAAACAGAATACAAAACTGTAAATAGAACTGCAAAGAAGAACTAATTTTTATACTTGCCTTTGTACTTTATGGGAAAGTCATAGGGACTATACAAGGTTAGCACTTGAGTATAGCTGCTTTTAGTGCCTAAATAGAACTTCAAACTGTTTGGGAAGGCAAACACTGGAATTTGGCGAAAATTTAAATTCATCTTTCGATGATTACAAAGTTTGTTTTTGTTTTAATTCCACTAAAACAATCAAAACACAGATTTGACGTCGTAACAGCTGTTTTGTGACCATGTGACACAGTGACAATTTATTCTAACCTAACTTTTATTTTATGTCCGTCTTTTTGACATTTGACAAATGACATACCTTTTTGTTATTTTTTAAAATTATTTAAAATATAAATTGTAAAATACATAGAAATTAATCTTTATACGTGTTAAATAATCACCTTTAAAGAAACTAAAATCAGTGAGGTTATTTATAAAATTATAAATAGAACATAGACGTTCATGCAAATACATTTAAATTTACATATACCGCGGCCTCCCCATAAGAGCAATGAGAGAATTTATGTCCCAGGATTGAAGGACAGAAGATCGAGTTTGACATAAGTCCATCCTTGTTCAGTAGATGGATGTAATGCACATGCGCCGAAATGCTACTTTTCTATTGGCCGAATGGTGTCGAGATGGGTTATCGATTTATTTTTGGACGCGTCGTCGGCGTGGATTTTGTTTTCAGTTTGGACTTGGCAAATACATTTAAATTTACATATACCGCGGCCTCCCCATAAGAGCAATGAGAGAATTTATGTCCCAGGATTGAAGGACAGAAGATCGAGTTTGACATAAGTCCATCCTTGTTCAGTAGATGGATGTAATGCACATGCGCCGAAATGCTACTTTTCTATTGGCCGAATGGTGTCGAGATGGGTTATCGATTTATTTTTGGACGCGTCGTCGGCGTTTTGTTTTCAGTTTGGACTTGGGCAGTCGCCATTAGTGTTTTCTCTAACTTTCTGTGTTTTCCACGTGTACTGTGTTTTCGTTTGTATTTTAATCTTTGTGCGTTTATTGACAATTTTGTGATTTAGTTTTAAAGACTTTTGCTGTAGTTTAATTAATAGAACAATGCGAATGGGCTACTGCTTTTTGTGTGGTAGAAGCCAACTAACCAAATTAATAATAGAAATTTTTCTCGATGTTCGTTTGTTTCATGAAAGCAAAATCAGAAATGAAAGGGATGTTAATATAAGACAAAAATATACGAAACTAATTTTATTCAAAAATCAATAATTGTTAAAAGCATTATATTTAGTCTTACTATTTTAAAATAAAAATGACATTATAATGTAAAGACTAAAAATAGAGACTACATAAGGCTAATTATAATGCTTACACAGTTACACACAAACTGTCTTATTGTAAATTATTATTGTTTTTTTTTCATAATATAAAAGAGTATTTACAATGCAACAATGTAAATAATTATATTTTTTGTATCTAGCTTGATTTATGTATAAACTTAATATGTACATACTTTTAGTTATATTTGTTTAATAAAAAATATGTTAATAATAAAGAATTACTTTTGTTTCATTTTAAACCAGGACTGATGTTGATTATTGATCATAAATACATGGGCAGTAAAAGAAACAATAGACAGTAAAAAATGTACTGTTATACTTTGTTTTGCTGCAATTTTTAAGTCGAGTGAAATAGATATGCAATTTGTAATACTAAGTTCTTAAGACAGTTCCTTAATTGAGGTTTTACTAAATTATTTTTTGAATTTTAAAAAAAGTGAAATAGATATGCAATTTGTACTACGAAGTTTTTAAGACAATTTCTTAATAATTGTGGTTTTACTAAATTATTTTTTGAATTTAAAAAAAAAATATCGTACCTGTCACTTTTTTTCATTCGTTTTATTTAATAATAATTGTCTAACACAACAAAGTCTACTTAGAACGATATGATATAAATATAAATGAGTTCATTAAAAAATGGTCTGATTAAAATTAGTACCTAAATAAGCAAAAATTATCCCCTCATAAAACAAGAAATTAAGGAGTTCAGTAAAAGGATTGCAACTATATATTTTATTCAGTAAATTTTCATAATAGTAAGTATAAAAGCACAATCTCTAAAACGACAATATGAATAATGTATATTAAGATTTAACTCGAGTTTCAGTGAAAAAACTATATTGATATTAAAATATTTTAATACCTTCAGAATACTAATTACATACCATAAAATAGGAGTTTTTACGATGCGGGAAGCCTATCTAGAAAAAGAATTTTAGAAATCAGCAATGGGATTCTGTAAGCTCTGTAGCAAGAAATTTCCTATCGAGCCTATGCTATTTGTATACGATTGATGAGTCACTAGACAGGGAAATGTTTACAGAATCGCACTGCAGATACCTATTACGCTACTAGGAGCCCCCCATTGTGAGACAGATATAAAATAATTTTTATATACCTATTCCATAGCCTATTTTTTTAAATGTCTGTAATATTTATAATAAACTTATTTTAACCAGTAGAAGTATTGCACCAGCATCAAAATTAACACTACTTGTAAAAAACTGTTGCTCCTTGAGTTTGTAATAGATATAAACCATAGATAAATGAAACAAGTTTAGATTGGAAAGTGCCCATAAGGACAATGTAAACACTATTTGGCGCTATTCTTGCAACGGTCGCGACCCAAAACTTTTGAAAATTTCGGAGCGGTTCGGCTTCATAGATAAATGCAACAAGTTTAGATTGGAAAGCCTGTAAAAATTTTAGGTCGCGAAATTATTTTGGGTCGCGACCGTTATACGCGATCTGGCGCTGCTATAGCGGTCGCTAAGAACAACGGCAAACAAAAACAGAAATAATTTTCTCTTGTCAAAGTCAGAATCTTCAAAAATCATAATAATCTTTCAAAATCTAAACCGCTCTCATTAAAGAAATTCCGAAAAGTGTTTATAGCGTCCATTCTCAAAGTAATTACTGCTATTTTGTGAGTTTAAATCAAGTTTTATTTACTCCAACCTGTGATAATTGTGAAAAAGTGGCATTAAAAACTTAAAAAGCTGTGCTGAGAACTGTGAACTGCAAAAACCATCGTGGATCATGGCATAACGTCGGTTTCCAATGTTTCATAGGTATTTCATACATGCGTCCTTACATAAAATAAAGTTTCTTGTATGCAACACACTGTATTTTATTTATAAAATTAAACGAAAATAATAATAAATTTGAATAAACAATATTTGGCGATATAATTCCGGAAAAAGCCGAACCGCTCCGAAATTTTCAAAAGTTTTGGGTCGCGACCGTTGCAAGAATAGCGCCAAATAGTGTTTACATTGTCCTTATGGGCACTTTCCAATCTAAACTTGTTTCATTTATCTATGGTTCGGCTTTTTCCGGAATTATATCGCCAAATATTGTTTATTCAAATTTATTATTGTTTTCGTTTAATTTTATAAATAAAATACAGTGGGTTGCATACAAGAAACTTTATTTTATATAAGGACGCATATATGAAATACATATGAAACATTGGAAACCGACGTTATGCCACGATCCACGATGGTTTTTGCAGTTTACAGTTCTCAGCACAGCTTTTTAAGTTTTTAATGCCACTTTTTCACAATTATTACCGGTTGGAGTAAATAAAACTTGAATTAAACTCACAAGATAGCAATAATTACTTTGAAAATGGACGCTATAAACACTTTTCGGAATTTCTTTAGTGAGAGCGGTTTAGATTTTGAAAGATTATTATGATTTTTGAAGATTCTGACTTTGACAAGAGAAAATTATTTCTGTTTTTGTTTGCCGTTGTTCTTAGCGACCGCTATAGCAGCGCCAGATCGCGTATAACGGTCGCGACCCAAAATAATTTCGCGACCTAAAATTTTTACGGGCTTTCCAATCTAAACTTGTTGCATTTATCTATGGATTATTATGATTTTTGAAGATTCTGACTTTGACAAGAGAAAATTATTTCTGTTTTTGTTTGCCGTTGTTCTTAGCGACCGCTATAGCAGCGCCAGATCGCGTATAACGGTCGCGACCCAAAATAATTTCGCGATCTAAAATTTTTACGGGCTTTCCAATCTAAACTTGTTGCATTTATCTATGATATAAACAAAATAAACATTCGAAAATAACTAAATCGAAGATATCTGAAAACTTTTGGTCGAAAAAGTGTTTTGCCATAACATGTTGGATACGATTAAAATATCTCAATTGATAAATATGCGCATAATGTTACATTATCAAACTTATTTGATTTCAGAATATTTAACAAAAAACTTCCAATTTTTCGAAAGATTTAATTCAATTATTAGAACGTCTTTAACCTCAACTTAAAATAAATAAAACCAAAACAAAACATGTCCAGGATTGTTACAAGGGCAAACATTTTTGTACTATAAATGGTGTCGAAATTGTACTTTTTTAAGTGGGATTGTACATTTTTGGTGCAAAAATGTGGGGTCATGTGATCTCTCTATTTACCTTTTTACCAAGTTTTGGTACGTAGGGTGCATCCAACACTATCCTAAAAACAGCGGAACGGCGTATTGGCTTAACGACCTTGATTCGATTTCCTACAATTCTATTGGCTGAAATTTTTGCCAGGTGAATTTGACAGATAAAATTTCTGACAGATGAATTTTTCAGCCAATAGAATTGCTGGAAATCGATTCAAGGTCGTTACGCCGATCCGCTTTTTTTAGGATAATGTGGATGCACCCTCACAGAATTATACACCACATGCTGTCCTCCTTTCACGCAGTTGAGCAGCTCTGAACTGTTCAAGAACGCAATACTCTCCCTCCATTCAATTGAGTCATAAAGTTCAGAACTGGTTCCGCGCCATATGGAGGCACCAGGCTATCTCGCACAGCTCCTTTCAGAACCTTCTGAGCAGCCCAGGGCGTAAAGCTTTGGAACTTGAAATTCGCAAATAGAGGACAGCAATACAGAAGCTACAAAGAGCTTTGAATAGCATTGGTTAAATGGGAACTAATTGCGTGACGTCACGTTTGACATCGGGACACAATAGATCTCTAAGGTCGCAGTGATTAGCCCCCCTCCTACTCACCGCACGGATATCAAACTTACGTTTGACATCCGTGCGGCTTGAACAGCATTTCAAGTGATGTATAATTCTGTGCCTCTGCTCCTAGCAACCTGCATTTCAAATCCACGCATCGCGTATCACCGTTCGTCTAAAAATATGTACGTGGGTTTAAGTTTGGGTTAGTTTGGGTTTGAGAAATAAGAATTGTACATTTTTTCTTGCAATTGTACCTATGTACTCCTTGACTATCAAATGTACCCAAAATAGTACAATTGTACCTATTGTAACAACACTGAACATGTCATATGATTTGGAACTGTCCAATCAAAGTACTTACAGATCGAGCAAGCGCAGAAAACCTCCTCCCGAACAAGGATAGACTTATGTGGGAAATGCATTGACATTCTATAGCCATCCTTCAACATCGGGACAGGAATTTAAGCGGTACTCTCCGTATATTTTATTAAAACGTATTTGCGTTCATGTGTAGATCTTAACCAAATTTTGAATTTTGATCTTTGAAAATATCCTTTTACGTACACGACCTCATTTTCCAAAAATAAGCAATACATAAAATAAAAATGCAAAACCCAAACGAAGATACGGAATGGAACGACATTCTGAGAGCCAAAGGTATTATACCACAAAAGGAAAAAGAAATAACAGAAGATCAAATTGTGTCTATACTAGAAGATACAATAAAATCAAAAACTAAAGGTAAAGCGATACTATCAATTAACTTGGAATTTATTCAGTGTAATTTGCGTTACAGAAGGAAAGAATTTAGAAGATTTAGACCTTGATGAATTGGACGAGTTAGAGGATTCTGAAGATGAAGCTGTTTTGTTAGAATATCGAAACAAAAGGATAGCTGAAATAAGAGCTCTTTCTGAAAAGGCTAAATTTGGTTTTGTGGGTGAAATATCCGCACAAGATTATATTAATGAAGTAAACAAAGCTGGTGAAGGTATATGGGTTGTTTTACATCTATATAAACAGGGGTATGCTTAATGTAGTCTCTTAATTTTTTGATAAAGACAAGCAGTTACCTAAATACCATGAATTCTTTTTAGAATACCACTGTGTGCTTTAATTAATCAACATATGAGTTATCTAGCAACTAGATATCCTGCAGTGAAATTTTTGAAATCCATTTCTACAACGTGCATACCAAATTACCCTGATCGTAACTTACCAACGATTTTTGTTTATTTTGAGGGTGATTTGAAGAAACAAATTGTTGGTCCTGTCGAATGTAGAGGTCCAAGTCTTACTCTAGAAGGTATATTTTATATCATTGAATAATTGAACTGTTTATTAATTATTTTTATATACCTAATTATAGAGTTTGAATATTTATTGGGCAAAACTGGTGCTATTGATACAGATATTAAAGAAGACCCGAGACCAAAAATAAAGGATAAACTAATGCAAGATTTAGCAGACTCGAATGATTGGTCTTTGTAACCTTTAATATTTTTTGTTTATATTTAATTTATTTTATATAGAGCTTTATGTAATTAAGAACAACATATGTATGAATAAACGTTTTTATGCTTGTTTATCTATTTATATTTCTTAATAATTAAATATTAAATTTGAATTAATTATGGGAAAGTTTGTTATAAACCTAGATTATATACAGGGTGAGCCGAACTGTATTCCGGAAACTTCGGTAACATATTCTGTACATAAAAATGAATAAAAAAGTTCGTATAATTGTACGTCCTAAAATGCTTAGTTTTGGAGATAGAGGGTGTAGAAGTTTCATTATTATTTCCAAAGATTATTTCGATTTTTCCAAATAATTTATGAAGTAACGTCAGTATTTAGATAAAAATTGGTATATGGCAGTTTTTTGACATGAGAAATTTGATTTTGATGTCAATATGACTCCTATTTGTAGGGAGCGCCACCTACATATGTTTTAACCTAAGGTTTTAACTGTTTTGAAGGGTAATAACTTTTCGTCCGTATCTGTATAAAACTACTGAGAGAAAAAATATAAATTTTTCGGCGAAAAAATGATGATAAAACAGTTTTTGTTGAATTTTAGAAAGAAAAACATTTCTAGTTTATGATTTCAATCTAAAAACTATTTAGTCAACATGTTTAATTTATGTCAGTGATGATAGGTATTGATAAATTCGATTCCAAATATCTCGAGAACCATTACTCGTAGCGATTTTTACTAAGAGATATTTTTTACGTAAAAAACCTCATAAATGTATATTTTTTTACTCAGTAGTTTTATACAGGTGCGGACGAATTGATATTACTCTTCAAACCAGTTAAAAAATATGTAGGTGGCGCTCTCTACAAGTAGGAGTTATATTGACATCAAAATCGAATTTCTCATGACAATAAAAAACTTCCAAACACCAATTTTCATCCAAATATTAACGTTACTTCATGAATTATTTGGAAAAAATCGAAATAAAAATGGAACTTCTACACCCTCTGTATCTCCGAAACTACGCATTCTAGGACATACATTTATACGAACTTTTTTACTTGTTTTTATCTGCAAAATATGCTGCCGAAGTTTCCGGAACACAGTTCGGACCACCCTGTATATGATCTAGGGTTATAAATAAGTAATTACAGAGAAAAAACACTCAGATTCAACTGACAGAAAATTTATTAGGTAAAAAATTGCCATTTTCTAGTTTACAATAATTTAGTTTATTTTAAAAATCATACATTCAAATGATTTTGATTATTACGTTTAGGTATATGTAGTTCATTCAAGTGGCAAAATAAAGCATAGGGACTCGTTTTTAAAAATTTTATTCCACCAAATAAACAACAATAAAAAAAATCGTCTTCTCTACACTATCATCGCGTAAATGCTAATCAGAATAATAACAAACAGTGAAAAACTGGTAGTCTTGAAACCTGAACTTGTACTTTCCCCTGTCAACCATTCTCCCACCAATTTGTGTACTTCTGCTCTGGCATTAATGAGATCATCAGAATCATTCGCTCTAGCGGTATAATATCCAGCACAATGAGACAACCCTAAAAATTGTAAGAAAAAACGTTTATTAAATTACACTACAATTTGAAAATTAATTTCTGTTGAGTTCAATATTTGAGCTGTTTTAGAGGTAAATTGATATGCTGATTCCAAACTTTATCTAGTTTTTTCTGGATTTGTCCCATCACGTCAGGTTTTTTCTCTACAGTTTTTGCCAGAAAAATATTACATTTCCGCCTTTGTACATAAAACTAATAGGTCTCATGAAGCAATTGGTTAAAGCTTTGTCAATTAAGGGAGAGTGCTCATTTCGACATTCCTTAGCTTGTCATATGAAAAAATAAAAGCTGGTGTGTTTGACGGTCCACAGATTCGGCAATTTATTAAATATGAACGTTTCATTGAAACAATGTTCGAACTTGAGAGGAATGCTTGGGTGGCTTTCAAAAATATTGTTAAAAAGCTTTCTTGGGAATATATACGGCCCAGAATTACATCAAAATTGTTCAACAACTCTTGGAGAGCTTTAGAAATCTTGATTGTAACATGAGCATCAAACTAGATTTATTCTTACATAGTCATCTTGCCATCTTGCTAACTTCCCAGAAAATGTTGGTGCTGTTAGTGATCCCACCATCAAGATCTGATGTTTATGGAGGCACGCTGTGGAGGCACGGCATCAAGGTAGATGGGATGTCAGATGTCAGTATGATGAGATGAGGCTGACTACTGTTGGATCATCAAGCGAGAATATCGACAAACAGAAGTCTCCCCTTGGTCTTGGTTTAACTTCCAGAACAAAGAGGAGACAACCTCACCAAAATCCTAAATCCTGCAATGGCGGGACCAGCTCAAAGGGATGCGTGGCTAGATAGAAGACTAACGTAGACTGGTCTCAGTCTTGGGGCGCCAGGGGACAACCCATTGTATCTAAATTATTCTACATCTCGTCTTCCTTACTTCTACATGCGGGGCACTATAAAAGTGGACCCTTGTGGTAAAAATGGGTAAAAGTAATCCTTGCGGTGTATCGCCTGCTGTGCCAGAACTCCAATGTACGGACATCGAGTTGGTGAGTCATCATCTCGAGGCAAGAGGGTCATAGTTAGGTCCTCAGAATAGGAATTGACCTCAAATCCAAGGAGGCAATAGAAAAAGAGAGATATAGGGTTCGGCATTAGTGTGTCGGACATCTGCAGCTCTTGAAAAACTTGGAAATTTTGATTAAGTACAAACCTAAAGTATGTACCTACTAGGATGTATTTCAGGAAAATATTTTAACTTTTATAGGGTGGCTCAAAAAAGGGTGAGGGGATCGGGATGATTTTTTTTTAAATGGAACACCCTGTATATTATTAAAATGCAATACCGTTGAAAGAGCCATATGAAATAATACTGCCTGTATCTGCGAAACCATTAAAATTTTTGAGTTACTTTAAATACGAAAAATATTCATTTTTCGTATTTCACTCCATTTAATAAAAAAAATAATATACAGGGTGTTCCATTTAAAAAAGTAAAGAAAAACTATTTTATATTTCAGAAAGTTCGACGTAGGATTTTGGACACCCTGAACGATTTAAGATTATATGATATTTGTAGCAAAGCCCAAGTAGCATTTTCACGACTTGCGACCACATGTTTACTAAACACAACGTTGGATTAGTTACAAAAAATAGTTAGCTCCCTACCTTTGGTATTAAAATAAATTTAAACGTTTTTATAACGTTGTGCCGACGTTGGACTAGTACTACAGCAAAGTAGAAGCTTCTGCGACGTCGAATAAACGTTGTCTTGTAACCTTTTTTGCTTAAGTGATCTTTAGGTGATTTGGACAACGTAGTTACAACGTTGGATAATATAGAGTTTTCCGACGTCAGTTTCAGGACCTATTCCAACGTTATGCAAACGTCGTCTGTTTTACTAATTCCAACGTTGTTTAGATTTCCTTATTCTTACGTTGGTAGGACGTAGAGTCACTACCTTTTTGCAACTGTATTGAACCATAACCTTAAATCTTAAATTTTCAATTCATTGTTCTGTTCAGTCAGACAGTTCAGTGCTGTTTTTGTTTTTATAAAAAAAAAACTTAATTAAAATGGGACATAAGAAAGGTACATATAAAACTAAATTTAAATATACATCGACATATATTACCGACACTTCCTCGTTTATTTAGATTATAGAGGGCGGCACAAGCTAGACTCTAGAATGACTAAATTAGGCAATCTTGCGACTAGTATACTACCTGTTAAGGCCGAACTGCGACTTTATTAGTCCAGTATGCGACTACTCGAACTACTCCATCTTAATCTCCAAAACAACAAAGTTAAAGCCGCCATGTTGTTAAATAAGAAAATGTTTCGTTCTTAAAATAGCAATTCCTGCTTTTTGAATACATTAACTTGAAATATTTGACCCTAAAAAATACGCGGAAACAATTTTTTCGAATGCGAATAAATTATTCTCATTTTACTAAAAAAAAAATTCAAGAAAATTTTTAAAACTTCTTTAATTTCAAGGCCCATTAGTATTTTTTAAAGTAGAAACAATACATTTATCAATAAAGTTGTTTGCGTTTAACTTTTTACCTTGGGTAACGAGTTACAGAGTCGGTTAAAGTGTTTCAATAATTATGATCTTCAAACATCCTCCACACTTAAATACTTTTGTTTTGTTTTCCTTCACTGCCATCTGACATATGTCTCTAACTAAATTATAAATATAATATTTTTACTATAATTATCCCAATTTAGGATAAAACGCGACTTAGACGCCATATTAGTTTTGTATTTCTGTAAATTAGGATTTTAAACAACGTTGCAGTTTGTACTAAATTAGGCTTCTAGCCAACGTCGGTATCCAACGTCGTTTCGACCCAGAAATTATTCTCCAAACTAGTGCAGATGCAGGTGCAGACTAGGGTTGGCACGAGGTTGTGCCGACGTTGCGCCCCGACGTTTGGTCGCGTGACACAACGTTGTCCCGACGTCCAAATGCTGCTTGGGAGTAAGTATAGACTATTTAAAGTAAATACCTATTCTAGTTTTGGTTTCAGGGCAGTTCTTGTATTTGTAATAACTTTTTTAAGGAAGGTTGAAATCTGTTTACTCATATCTTAAAATTATTACAGTTGGGAGTTGGAACTTTTGGTGTTACACAGCAAAGTAAAACACTAAATCACCACAATACACCAAAACACTTTTACTTTTATACTGAACGCGCATTTCGCTAACCATGTTAGCATCATTCGCAGATGATCAAGACTCATTATCAAGACTAAACTAAAATCTATAATTTGTGCGTTTATATACTCGCTCAGTGGGTACCGAGTGGGCGTGGCACGATAGTTGTCTTGATCATCTGCTGATGATGCTGCGAAACTTTTTATTGTCTTAAAATTATGTAAAGTGATCTGAAAGGAAGCCAAAAATTCAATAATATACGATGCGTTCCATTAAAAAAAATATCCCGATCTACTCACACTTCTTTGAGCCACCCTATAGAAGTTAAAATATTTTCCTAAAATACATCTTCGTACATACTTTAGGTTTGCGCTTAAACAAAATTCTCAAGTTTTTATTCTAGGAGCTACAGATCCCGGACGCACTACTGCCGGACCCTGTATACTTATATCCTCTATTATAGATCCGGGACAAAACTGGTATCAGGTATAAGGAGAGACCAAATTAAAGAAGTGGAGAAAATGGAGACATGCCTCAAGGGTATCTCAGCCAGAGAAAAGCTAGGGCATGGAGGTGAAGGGCATGGAGGGCTAAACCCCAACCGTAGAAGGGTGTATAAAGGGTGTATACCCTCGTAGGAGATATACAGAGGGTGGCGCACCTCATTCGCCTCGGTTGATTATACGAAAACGGAAAGACGTAGAAACAAAATAGTATATGTGGGGAGACAATGTGCACAATTTAAAATTATTTTGAAATATACAGGGTGTTTCAGAACTAAGATCCATACCAAAGTTATATTTTTCTTATGGAACACCCGGTATTTTATTTCATTTTTGGATTCTTGGGTCCAAAAAAAGATATTTATTATAAGGGTTAAATATGTTTAAAATCTTTAGTTTTTGAGATATTTAAAGATATTTAAATTTGCATGCTACAATAGAATAGACTATTAAGATCCTGCACATTATTTTTCAGAATTAATTATTATGCTGAGTTTAAAGGTAGAGAAATAAACTTTACTGAATAATGGTATTGGTTTCTTAAATATAAGTATACAGGGCTATCAAAAGTTGCTGATATATTTTAAGGATATATATTTTATAAAAAAACTTCGGTATTTCAAATGCAACACCCTGCATTTTTTTAAATAAATCGAAGAAGATTCAAATGCTCTTTCAAACTGTATTAGGGATATCCTATCTAGCTCAGATTTTGAATAACAAGCGATTTTTCAATAAAATTGCAATCAAGATGGCTGGTGTCGCCATGGCAATTTTCTAGTGACAGTGTTAATAACTATTTTCAAAGTCGACATTAGTTTATGGACATTATTATTTATAATTTATAACAGTTTACTTAAATTTGCCTACAATAGTTTAATAAGTAAGAAGTATTAATTATTTTATCACGAAAATTAAAGCAGTACCTGTTGCATGGGCGAAGTTAGGGGGGGGCTTGGGGGTGCTAAGCCTCCCCAAATCCTGATTTAGCCCCCCCCAGACCGAACTAGCCTACACAACAAATAATTAAACATTATTGATACTCAGACAAAACCAAAAATAAAAAATACTTTTCTGATTTGATCTGTAAAAATTGTATAATTTTTAGTTTCGACTCAGTAGCGAATGCGAAATTGAAACGAAATTGGCAACCAGGCGTAGCGGGCTGGCAACCATAACTGGGGCTTTAGCCCCCCCAGATCTAACAACCTAACTTCGCCCATGACCTGTTGGCGGAACGAACAGATATGTTACTAGTAATATTATTTTGTGAGGAAAATTGCTTCTTGGCCTCAAGGGCTTATGTCCAAATCCAAATCAATCAATATCCAAATAGGAATCTTCCTGATAAGCGTTTCTTTTTAAAACTTCTAGTCCTATTTCGCAGCGCTGGTAGTGTGGTTTAAAAAAACTTATTAGATAAAAGCCTGTGGTTCAAAGTGAAGAAAATGAATTTACCGTAATTGGCTCTTTTATAGAAAATCCATATATCTACAAGTCATCGTAAAATAATTCAAAGAACTACTTCTTCGTTTTTCTTGAGAGAATAATAAACACATATTTAATAAATATTATTTATTAAACTATTGTAGGTAAATTAAATAAAAGTAAACTGGTATAAATTTAAATAATTCCATAAACTAATTTCGATTTTGAAAATAGCTACCATAGATAAATGGAAGAAGTTTAGATTGGAAAGCCCGTAAATATTTTCGGTCGCGAAATTATTTTGGATCGCGACCGTTATACGCGATCTGGCGCTGCTATAGCGGTCGCTAAGAACAACGGCAAACAAAAACAGAAATAATTTTCTTTTGTCAAAGTCAGAATCATTGCCTGGAAACTTATATGGTGAAATTTTGATAAAATAATTTAGTACTCACTAAAAACACGGTATGTCGCTAGTGGTAGGAAAAATAATTTTTAGAGGTTACTAGTTTATTTGGTTGCCTGTGATATGCATATACAGGGTGTTTCTGGCCACTTCCTGTTTCACCGGAAATGACTAAAACTTTTGATTTTTAAATGGCACCTCGGTATATTTCCACTTTATTCGATAGAAAATGACACTCTGAGTAGAATGACATATCTTATTTCAACTTTTGAAATTTTCGTTCAAAAACATTATATTTTAAATTTCAATTTTTCGTGTCTTGTCCTGGCCGGTCGAATAGATGCCAAAATCGTATTTTTTAATCGAAAATATCAAAAGATGACATATGTCATAAAATAGAAATATACCGAGGGTGCCATTTAAAATCAAAACTTAGTAGTAATTTCCGGTGAAACAGGAAGTGACAAAAAACAATTGAATACGTCAATTAATCCTAATTTATGTCGCATACCTACTACATACCAAATTTCGTTATAGAATTCAACTTCGGCAGTCTTGTTCTGTATAAGTGATCTTTGAAAAAATTATATTTTCTTTAAAAAGCAGTAGTGTACCATTTATTTTATATTAAATATCGATTTTTTTTAATTTTTAACACCCAATTAGATCAGAAAGAAAGTACTTTAGACCCATTACAGTTGTATAAAAATTGTTTCAAGAACACATGAGGAATCACCCCATTGTTTTTAGACTAATTCGAAAACACCCTGTATATTGTCAACTTGACAATGACTGCTGATAAATCAAAATACCTTTTCAGTGAAAAAAGCCTGATTTTCGCAGGAAAAATTTTGATTTTATTGAATTTGGGCCTGCGTTTGCAAATACTCGTTTGTTTTTAATTTTCTATCTATCTAAATTTTAAATATCATAGTCAGAAATAGTTTTATTATTTATTAACTGTAAAATGGTGTTTTCTTGTTGTGTTGCATCTTGCAAAGAAACTAACAAAACTGCAAAAATGTACGTGTTTCCAAAGACGATAAGGTATATCTTAGATAAAAAGAAAAATATATGGTATGTATTCGTTGTTTGATTTTTTTTTTCGTTCGCTTTAAAATCATATAAAATCGGTCTATTCATTTCACAGCCTTCCTGGCGTTGTTTTTATTCGATCATTTACATGAAACTCTGTAAATAAATAAAAATAACTAATGTGAAATATATATATTTTTTGGATAATAAGGATATCGAGTTCCTCTGATATTCCAATATATCAATGAAACTTTAAAATAAAATTCCTCTGAATTCAAATATAAACATAAAACAACATTTACAGCAGAAAAAGGCGAAGCCGCTGGGTTAAAACTGTAGTCTTGACTAAAAACACGGAGGGACGCTTTGACCCAAAACAGTTTACTATTAAGTTTCATATCTATCTTAATAGTAGATTATTTTCTTTTATCTATGGTCAGAATCTTCAAAAATCATAATAATCTTTCAAAATCTAAACCGCTCTCATTAAAAAAATTCCGAAAAGTGTTTATAGCGTCCATTTTCAAAATAATTATTGCTATCTTGTGAGTTTAATTCAAGTTTTATTTACTCCAACCGGTAATAATTGTGAAAAAGTGGCATTAAAAACTTAAAAAGCTGTGCTGTGAATAGAGAACTGCAATAACCATCGTGGATGGTGGAAATTAAAACTATCCTAATGTTTCATAAAAGATTTCATACATGAGTCCTAATATCAAATAAAGTATAATAGTATGCAACAGGATGTATTTTATTTATAATGTTAAGTCAGAAAATAATAATATTTGAATAAACAATATTTAACATATAATTCCGAAAAGCCGAAACGCTCCGAAATTTTTAAAAGTTTTGGGTCGCGACCGTTGCAAGAATAACGCCAAATAGTGTTTACATTGTCCTTATGGGCACTTTCCAATCTAAACTTGTTTCATTTATCTATGATAGCTACTAACTAACTGTCACTCGAAACTTGCCATGACAACATTAGCCATCTTGATTACAATTTTATTGAAAAATCGCTTTTTATTCAAAATCTGAGCCAGATAGGTATAGGAAACCCTAATATAGTTTGAAAAAGCATTTAAATCTGCTTCGACTTATTTAAAAAAATACATAGTGTTGCACATGAAATAACGAAGTTTTTATGTAAAATAAATATTTAAAATAGACCAGCAATTTTTGATACCCCTGTATAAATTTAAGGAAGGAATAACATTTTTCTGTAAAGTTTATTTCTCTACCTTTAAACTCAGCACAAGCATTAATTCTGAAAAGTAATGTTCAGGGTGTTAATAATCTATTCTATTGTGGCATGCAAATTTAAATATCTTTAAATACCTCAAAAACCAAAGATTTTAAACATATTTAACCATTATAATAAATACATTTTTTTGGGCACAAGAACCCACAAATGAAATAAAATACCGGGTGTTCCATAAGAAAAAATATAACTTTGGTATGGATCTTAGTTCTGAAACACCCTGTACATTTCAAAATAATTGTAAATTGTCCACATTACCTCCCCACATATATCCATAAAATATTTTGTTTCTACATCTTTCCGCTTTCTTATAATCAACCGAGGCGAATGAGGTGCGCCACCCTGTATATCCATTCCTCGGAGGATGAACAGGTAATGACGGAGAAGGATGGGAATAATCTGAATTTAAGTTTTTCTATAAAGATAACTCACCTTGAATGACAATAGCCTTAGATCCGACTTCGTTGTCGTCTTCTAATTTGCCCAATACATGCCACGGATCCATAGAACCATGAACATAAACTACGTTCGAGGCCTTGATGTTAGTAGCACCATATCTGGTATTAACTTGATTAATACCTATTATAAATCTAATTAGACTCTGCATTTGATTATTTTTTATTTGTACCAACCCGCAGTAATTAAACTTTCGTTGAATTCCGTGCCAAAGAGATCTTGACAGGTTTCCACGAAGAAATCGATGTCAAATCTGGATCCAAACACTGGATCATCTTGGGCCGATGTTTGGAAGAATCCGAATTCTGTGCATGTTTGGTAGAACCACTGTCGCACTTAAATGTATAATAACAAAGTCATAGAAATTATTTTTCAGTTCAAAAAGTTATTATAAAATTACTTATTCAAAAAAGAAAATATTTGCTTACTCATTGAACTTGGATCGGCTGTGACGTTGGTATACTGCGTAATCATTGAGGTGTATGTGTAATCCAGACATTCGCTTCCTGTTTTATTTAATACTGCCGTATTTACTTTGCCTAATCTATCTACGACAGTTCCTACAAAAAAAGATACAATATGATCGAAAAAAAAACAGCGTCAGCGATGGCTATGAAATGAAGATCACTGTTATTTTATACCTATGTAAAATTATGTGGGGACAGTCATCCATCGTCATTTCCAAGCCAACTGAACGCCGTTTTTTTTTTCGATTATACGGTAGTTTTAAGAGGTGATTTTTTAAGACACTAGTTATTATGTCAACTACCTAGATCATATAGTCATAGTGAAGGGATGGGAAACTAGTGTTTATAATTTTGTTCATAATTCATAATTTTTTGTACTAGTTCTTTCACTAGGAGATGCGAAACCTTATCGTGGGTGGGAAAGCTCGTAGTCAGATGCTAGGCACTCAGACAGTGGCGGATTCACAGGGGATTTTTCGGAGGTCCAATATCTTTAAAATCAATTGGCTTAACTGGTAAAAATAGGCGTGTTTTGATAGTTTAATTTTTTTTTTAGAAGAAAATGCTTTAAGTATGGTTATTTACTTTGATTTTTTTTACCAAAACTTCGTATTTGAAGGCCTATTTTCTTGGACTACAAAGCATTGCCATAATTTGTCCTCATATATAGTTTCCGAGATCCCAATAGTCACCCTCGAATTTATCACACTCTGTATAATCTAATTTAAAAGTTGTGTACCTATGGATTCGTCAACCATAATATCGCAAACAAAATCGACAGTAAGATTGCCAAGACTCGGATTCTTGTTATACTGTGCCACGTAAGCAAAATTATCATCTGCCAACACCTCGAAGAAGCTTGCCAAATCTTTATCGTTTCCTTCGCTTTGTTCGATACTGTCACAAAGTGTCAGCACTTCATCCACGTAGTTGTAGATTTCTGAGTCTTCCAGACAACTGGATACCACTTCCTCTAACTCTGTGAAGGCTGCTTTAATGTTGGTCAGGCACTGGGTGCTGTGGGATGCGAAATCATCAAGAACAACTTGTAGATATTCTGAAAATAAAATAGAAGGTTTTTTTTGGTTTCTGGATAATCATATATGTTATTCTGGATATTGAAAAGTACTATAAGGTTTAGTTTTTACCATTAAGGTGCGTTTACACTAGTCAAGTCAACTGATCTAGTCACTCGAAGTCACTGAAGTAGAATCCAGGTTCTTCAGTGACAGTGGAAGACTCCATTCGTAATTTGGAATGAGAATCCTCCAAAATCTCTGACTAGTACTGTATACAGTTACTTTAGTAATATTCGAAATAACACTCACTTGCAACCAAAATGGGACACCCTGATGTACAATATTATGTATTCATACCTTTGAATTCCAGTACTGCTTCTAATGGTCCGCTGTGAGATACAGCTCCCGCCACTAAATGTGGGTACTTCAGTCTTAACCAAGCCGCAAGACTACCCGAATAGGAGGCACCGTATACAATCCATTTGACATCGCTTGTCAAGTTGTATTGTGTATTTATAAATTGTATAAACGTGGCCGCATCTTCTAAAGCTTGCGTACTTGACAGGTACTTTAAATTTTCTGTGCTTAAATTTCTGAAAAATAAAAATCGCTGAATTTTTTCATTTTTTTTGCACATATTCATCATATTTTCGAAATATATAATCAATATATCAATATATGTATAATCAATGACTAAAGAATACAAGGACGAATAACACCTGCAACCAAATTGTTACCATACCACCAAACAGTGCCATGGCACATATTTTTCTTAACATAGCCGCTTGAAGAGATAAATGTTTTGACTACGCCTATGGCTTATGCAGTGGTATCATACTAATTAATTACGAAAAAAACGTATTAAAATGTTAATAAAAGGTACAAAACTAGTGTCGACATATACCACATATCAAGTACATATAATATCAGAAAAATAATTATCCAATTCAGTAAAAAAACGCTAAAAAGGTGGAGTGGATTGTTTATTTACCTATGGAACGTAACTGCTTCTCTCTTCTGCGGCTTTTACACTTGAAAGCTGAACAACTAATCACCATTGTAATAAAGTTTATACAAAGTTCACTACACACAAACTACCGTATGATCGAAAAAAAAATGGCGTCCAGTTGGCTGGGAAATGACGATCGATGACATTTCCCATATAGATTTACATATAAAATGACAGCGATCTTCATTTTCCAGCCAACTGGACGCCGTTTTTTCTCGATCATACGGTATTAAACATCGCTAAAATTGTCGCTGATGACCAGCTGATGACTCATTCGTTACAACAAAAGAAACATGGCGTCTAACATCACAAATTCTGCTGCAGCCTGTATATGAGTGTTACATGTCCTTGTATTCTTTAGTCATTGTGTTAGTCAATATATCAATATATTTTCCTACAGTGGCGTAACAACAGACTCACGGGCCTGTGTGCAAAAATTTTACCGGGCCCCTTATTACACCTACATATTTCAATACTTATATACTAATCTGAATAATATGCACTCATATTTTAGGTTAGAAATAACATTATCAAATTAATTTTTTTATAGTATTATTTATTACTGCGACACAGAATATGTAACCCAAAACATATAAAATATCAAATAAATAAAAAAAAAATAAATAAAAACAAAGGAAAACACAGCTACAAAATTGCACAAGAACAAGTGTAAAGTAATAAGTTATTTTCGCGATATAGCGTATGCTAGTTAAGTAGTTAAGAAGACATGTGATAGATAAGAACTTAGTTCGGGGGATCGCCCGATTCTGCTTGATTCGCGATAGGTGATAGATATGGAAATGCGGCCCGTGTGCTTCGCACACACGGCACATCGGTAGTTACGCCACTGTTTTCCTAAGCAGATAGGCTACCTAGTTCCTAAAGTTGCTTTTTATTTTATATTTTTAATGCTATAAGTTGTAAATTGTAACTATACAGAGTGAGTCTTAAATAAGTGCAAATATTTTTAGGGTATTATATTTCGACCCCAGAAACATGATTATGAGGGTTTTTTTCGTCAAAAAAAAAATTTTGAATTTTTTGAAAAAAATTTTGGAAATTTTTTTAGTTAAAAACATAATTTGTTAATACCTAATATGGCAACATAGGTAGTAGATTAAATTTACAAGAAAGAATATCCAGAAAAGATCCAGTGGTTCTCAAAATTTTATATGAAAAACGGTAAAGAAAAAACATTAACTTTCCTTTATCGAGATCTACCAACTCTGAAAATATTTGCACTTATTTAAGACTCACCCTGTATATGTATTTAAATATCATACTAACTCTAAAGGTTGGCTTTCTCCATAATAACGGTGCTCCAGACATACCACCAGACCTCCATATTCCTTGATATGTTCTATCCAGGCTCCAGACGAAGCACAAGTGGATCTCAACGAACTCTCACCACCCAGATACAAGTAAGCTCTGTTTCTCGTTTCAGAAACGTAATCTTCGCTGACGTGATATCGCTGTAAGAATTTTTATAATCAGTTTTAAAGAAAAATACTATATCACTATATACATATTTCAATTATTTCTTCTGGTAAACAAAATAAAAGATAAGTTCCATCATTCATTTACAACATCAATAATAATAAAATAGAAACGTGGCTGTTATAAATTACATGTGCTTATGTGAGTTTAGTTTATTAAATTTTCTAATTGGCCAATAGAAATAAAGTCCTCTTACTAGTTAATGAAAAAGTAAATGATCTAGTCAGAAAAGAAAGTACTCTACTAAATGGACCAGAACCATTCTGCTTCCCAAGTGGAAACCAACTTAAAGCAGAACTCAAGAACCTGGAAGGCTCCATCCGTAACCTGGAATGGGAATCCCCCAATAGTCTAAGACACTCGAAGAAATTTTTGAGGACTATGACCGAGCATAACCTAAGATTTCCATTGATTTAAGTAAGAACAATCTTCAGATGGTCACGGGGTTTTAACAGTCTCACAATAAAACACGTCTCTTCAATAAACACCTCAGTAGAATGAAAGTCGGTCAAGTTTGCCCCCCGTACTAGAGGAAATTCAAAAAGAGATATACCACTATTTTGCACAATTTTGCACACTATAAATGATATTTTGCACACTTACCTAAATGAAACTAGAGCCGTTTTTTAAACGGGGGGCAAACTTGACCGTTCCCCCCCATTTGTTACGAAATTGATTTATTTCTATGTACATCGATTCGGCTAATTTTGCACAATTTTGCACACCTATTTTTAAATTTTGCACACCCTCCTGACGAAAGTTATAAGGGGTTGAAAATTTAAAATTTCCCCCCCCATCTGTGACTAAATTGAATTTCGTTTATATCAAACGAATCGGCTAATTTTGCACAATTTTGCACACCTATTTTAGAATTTTGCACACCTTCCTGACGAAAGTTATGAGGGTTTGAGAATTTGCAATTTCCCGATGCAGATGCAGAAGCTACGAAATTGACTTTTGCTTATATCAAACGAATTGGCTAATTTTGCACAATTTTGCACAGCTACCTTCGAATTTTTTACACTCTCCTGACAAAAGTTATAAGGGGTTGAAAATTTAAAATCCCCCCCCCCCATCTGTGACTAAATTGAATTTCGTTTATATCAAACGAATCGGATAATTTTGCACAACTTTGCACAACTATTTTAGAATTTTGCACACCTTCCTGACGAAAATTATGAGGGTTTGAAAATTTGCAATTTCCCCCCCATCTGCTACGAAATTGACTTTTGCTTATATCAAACGAATTGGCTAATTTTGCACAATTTTGCACAGCTACTTTCGAATTTTTCACACTCTCCTGACAAAAGTTATAAGGGTTTGAATATTTGAAATTTGTCCCATTTTGTTGTGAATTGTCCCATTTAAAAAACATAAGTATGAGTCATATTTGAAAATGATAGATCTCAGCGACGTCGAAAACCGTACGGAACCCAGACTTCACCTTTTCGATAAGTTATAGGATAACCGAGATATGCGGGTTGTCGAAAAATGCAAAATTTTCAAATTTGCCAGGTATTTCAGGAAGTAAGAGGGCTAGGACAAATCTGTGTGTAGAATCTTTAGTTTCATAAATGTTCTTCTATGCAAGCTATAAATTATCGAAAAGGTGAAATCTAAGTTCCGTCAAAGGTTCCGTGCAGTTTTTCACGTCGCCGAGATCTATCATTTTCGAAATATGACTCATACTTATGTATTTTTAAATGGGATATTTCACACAAAATGGGACAAATTTCAAATATTCAAACTCTTATAACTCTTGTCAGGAGAATTGTGCAAAATTAGCCGATTCGTTTGATATACACAAAATTCAATTTCGTGACAGATGGGGGGGGGAAATTGCAAATTTTCAAACCTTCGTAACTTTAATCAGGATGGTGTGCAAAATTCAAAAACAGGTGTGCAAAATTGTGCAAAATTAGCCGATTCGTTTGATATAAACAAAATTCAATTTAGTCACAGATGGGGGGAAATTTCAAATTTTCAACCGCTTATAACTTTCGTCAGAAGGGTGTGCAAAATTCAAAAACAGGTGTGCAAAATTGTGCAAAATTGGCCGAATCGATGTACATAGAAATAAATCAATTTCGTAACAAATGGGGGGGAACGGTCAAGTTTGCCCCCCGTTTTAAAAACGGCCCTGGTTTCTCTTAGGTAAGTGTGCAACATATCATTTATGATGTGCAAAATTGTGCAAAATGTGTGCAAAATAGTGGTATATTTATTTTTGAATTTCCTCTAATACGGGGGGCAAACTTGACCGACCTGTAGAATGAAGCTAAGAAACAACGGCGAATGCAGATTCTGTGGGCAGTGGCGTAGCGTGAGTTAGGGGCGCCCGGGGCGGAAAACCTCTAGGAGGGAGGTTTGCCGCCCCTACAGAATCCGTCTGCCGCCTTTATAACAAATTTTTGTCGCTCCGCAGGTACTTGGAGGGTCGACGCCCGGGGCGGCCCGCCCCCTCCGCCTTGCTACGCCACTGTCTGTGGGGAAAATGAGGAAACACCAGTAGAGACGATTCGTGCGATTAACTTTGGTATGACTGATATTGGAGATGGAGAAATAACCTTTGTAAAATCGTCTCAGATACTGGTTTGGTTAGAATGAAGAGAGACTGAAGTTAGCTATTATTGATGTATAGAGATTATATCAAGTTTGAAAATTACAAAATTTTCCTTTAACATTTCAATTCTTCAATTGATATACATTGTGTATATGTATTGCTTAAAATTGAAATATGAAATAATATCCAGGGGGTTTCATTTAAAAAAAAAATAAAGTAACAAAACTTTATGACCGACCCTGTATACTTAAATTTACTAGTAGCTATTAGGAATTTCAAACCCCATTATAACAGTATCACAATTTCGGCAGAATAGCATCATTAAATCAAATCAAACACATCGAAATTAATTAAATCGAATTGTTTAAGTGATATTTTCAAAAGTCTATACTCGGAAACGGTTGGTTTGAAGTAGTAGTGGGAACTATCGAATGAATACTATCGAAACATTCGATAGTTGCAATTCATTCGAATAATTCGATAGCTAGTAAGAAAACATTCATTGAAAACTATTCGAATAAAAATATCGAATAGATGCGTCATCTGCCTTGAAATATATTAATTCGGCAGCAAAAACCATTCATTTATAAAATTCATTCATTTGTAAAATTCATTTATTCGTCAGGATCGATTATAATAAAATATAAACTGGATTTTAGTTGTCGCCCGGCGACGTAGGTTTCTTTCCTAGAAACCCGACAGCAGTCGGCGGTCGGTGGCAATGGTATGAAAAAACCCGGCATCTTTGATTTTGAGTCAGATAAAGATAAGGACACATTATTTTTTTTATTGAGGTGCTAGTATTTACACAGAAAATACATTATGAACGGCGTTGTTGCCGTATATTCGTCTTAGTTGGTATTAGCAAAGAATATTATTCTTTGGTATTATAGTTAGTTAGTATGACTATATATTTTGCATGTTTTTTATTAATATTCTGTTGTTACACTACAATAATACTTTTATTTTGGATGTAGGAAAATGATTTTTTAATGTTTTTTAAGCAAAACTGGTTTAATAAATAATAATAACAGTAATAATTTGTTATACCTATTAACACCAAAATTTAAAATCATTTAATATAAACATTTTTTAAGTAGTAGCAAAATATAAACAACAAATTAGAAGTCAAAATTATTTATATTAGATCCTATTTAAAAATAATATAGTCTCTCAATAATAATAATTACAGAACTAATTCGTTATATTAACAACAAATTTTAAAATCATGAAATATAAACATTTATTAATTTTCTAAGCATGCAGTGTAATAGAAGAAAAATATAAATAAAAAATTAAAAATCAAAATTATATATGTGTATTACTTTTTATTACTTTGTATTAGTATTTAAAAATAATATTTGCTTTTACTGGCATTTACTTTAAAAAATAAATGAAATATTTCTTCGCAAAAATCTACATGTAAGAGAATTAGCATAAACAAAATACAAATATCGTTAACTTTTTTTTTAAATTGGCACGTGTAAAACTTTAATCAATCAATTTAATTTTCTCATCCCAAAATTTGAGTTCGATAACCATTTACTTAACCGCATTACTACATTACTTAAATATGATTATTAAGTTCAACTAATTCATATTACTAAAACATCTAAAATACAAATACATATGTATTTTAAAATTAATTAATAAGTTCACCTCATCTCTCTTAAAAATTGTTACTTCTCAAAATTTCCCATTAAAAAAAATAGACCATATACCGTATAAAATTAAATAATTGAAAGATCGGAAAATCACACAAATTTTCGGAAAAATTTTGACCACCTGCACACGTACACAATCGTCAATTAAAAAAAAACTACTACTTTAGTATTTTTAAATATTTTAATAAACGCAAAAAATAGCACAGTATTTAGAAGGCAAGTTATAAAATTTGGAAGAACTAATAATGCACTGACGCAGACAAAAATCAAACGAATACTAAATTTCATTTATCAAAAGCATTCGATAGTCGTGGCTTAACGATAACCATTTAGTCGCACGGCGAGGTTGTCACATATGCTTTAGTATACAAATGAATGAATGATTTTATTCGAATGAATCCATTCGATAGTTGAAATCATTCATTCAGTAACCATTCGATAGTCTAATTCATTCGATAGTTCCCATCGCTAGTTTGAAGTACATTCTCTGTTATTCGCTTTTTTCTTAGAATTGAAGGAAGAATTGAAATATGTAATAACATACAGACGGTTCTATTAAAAAAAATGAAACTTTGATGTGCCACGACTTTATGAACGAGCCTGTATACTTAAATTTATTACTCGCTAATAGATATTTAAAAATTCTATAACTTTTGTAATTAACTTTTTGCGGTACCTCCTATATTTTACCTAATAATCGACCGTTTCCATACATAAAGGCGACCCTGTATATATTTTTTATGAAAT